CCAGTCACCATCCTGCCATGTGATGAGGATGTGGGATACGGAGCAAGGGCTTCCATCAAACTCAACTTGATATTTATTTTCCGTATGATGCCAAACTAGGCAGAAGTGTTGATCTGCCTGAGGGCAGGAAGGCTCTGCAGAGGGACCTGGCCAGGCTGAATCCATGGCTGAGGCCAATTGTATGAGCTTCAACAAGGCCAAGTGCTGGGTCCTGCACTTGGGTCACAGCAACCCCTTGGATGCTACAGCAGTAGGAAGGAGTGGCTGGAGCTGCTGTGCACAGGGAACTGGAGTCCTGGTGGGCATCACATCCCACGAGCCAGCAATGTGCCCTTGAGCCAAGAAGGCCAACGCCATCCTGGGCTGGATGAGAAGGGGTGGTTGTAGGGCAGAGAGGTTCTCCTGCCCCTCTGCTCTGCCCTGCTCACACCACAGCTGCAATCTTGTGTCCAGTGCTGGGCCCTCAGGTCAGGAAGGACAGGAACTGCTTGAAAGAGTCCAGCAGGGCCACCAAGTGATGGAGGGAGTGGAGCATCTCCTGCTGAGGAGCGGCTGAGGGAGCTGGGGCTCTTGAGCTTGGAGCAGAGGAGACTGAGGGGTGCCCTCATTCCTGGGATCCATTTGGAAAGGGCAGTGTCAGGAGGAAGGAGCCAGGCTCTGCTCTGGGATGTCCATGCCAGGACAAGGGCAATGGGTGCAGCTGGAGCACAGGAGGTTGATGTGAACACGAGGAAAAGCTTTTTCCCTGTGAGGGCACAGAGCATGGCCCAGGCTGTGGAGAGGTTGTGGAGTCTCCTTGTGTGGAGACACCCAAAGCCCTGGCCGTGTTCCTGGGTGACTGCTCTGGTGATCCTGCTCTGGGGTTGGGCTGGGGGTGCTCCAGAGGGTCCTGACAACTCCTGACATCCTGGGATTCTGTGGTTCCTTCCCTCCATCTCTGGGTGTCCTGGTCACCCTCCTGGTTGTGGAGGGGCCATCAGTGCAAAGAAATAAATCCCTTCCCAGCTTTAGTCCTTCCCACTGGACAGGGTCAGGGATTTGGGATAGGGCAGGGGGCAGGAGTTGAGCACAGAAACCCAAACACATCACAACTTACCGCAGACAACGGGTGGTTGGTTTTTTTTCTCTCTTTTATTTGTCACCGACTAGGAGCAGCAATTGTGGCACAGGGGAGCTGAGGAGTACAACACCACACTCGGGGAAACGGTATGAAAAGTACAAAAATAAGGAAGCCTATATATCATATCATTGCAGTCAATTACTAAAAATAAATATTGTAAACACAAAAGAACAACATCAGGTGAATCTACAGTCACTCATTTCTGCTAGCAGCCGAACAGTCTTTGGCTTTATTGAACTCCCCTGCCCCGCACGGAGCCAACACCCCAGGAGGATGCATTTTCTTTGCTTCGGGACAGAAAGACCCCACCAGATTTGTCAGGGGCATCAGAAGGTGAATAATTGGACTCTTTTCTTACTCCTGATTACTTTGTGACCAGGAATCACCTCTTTTCTACCACAGCAAGCCAAATAATCTGTTGAAAAGAGTCTTTTCCTCCCTTTATCTGCTGTAGACGAGGAGGTTGGGGTGAGCTGGGGGACCCAGGCTCCCCCATTCCAGTTTGTTTTGTTGCTGTCTTGTTCCTCACCACCCATTGCATGGGGACTTGTGGATTTTGTCACCGTTTGACACCCATCCCCGCTCCCCTCCCATGCCCTGGACCTTTTCACCCCCTTATCTCTGCCAGATAACCTGGGTGCGTTTGGATTGCCTGATAAGAGCCTGTGTCACACGGAGGCACCAAAACACCTCAGGTCAAACACCCCTGTGCTGCTCCCAGCCAGAGACCTGCACGTTTCCGATATTCCTCATACATCCCAGGTGACCGAATATGATGCTTCTCCCTAAGTGGCCTTGACCCCAAGAAGGGAAGAGGCAAATTCCTGTTGCAAGGCTCAGTAATTTTATACTTGTGTGTGTGTATATATATACATATATATATTATTTTAAACTTTATTTAACCCAGTAACAACAAAATCCTGTCTGACTTGGAGAAGGTGCCAGCCAACACCAGAAGTGCAGAGAAAATGCATCCTCGTGGGAGCAACCAAGCGAAACAAAAGCCATCCTAAATCCACAGAGCAGCGCTTCTCACTGGAGGAGAGACAGACGGGGCAGGTCAGGCTGACCAATGTGTCCATCTCTCCTACACAGAATAGACTCGATCTTCCCTTCATATCAACAGGTACGATTTAATCTTCCCTTCTTCATTTGAAACACATTCACGTAACACCCCCTGGCACCAGTTTGGTGAGGGCCCAGTCCCACTGAAGTTACAGTCTGTACAGCAGCCATCCCTGGTGCTCATCCCCTTGGAGACAGAACGGAGCACAGACTCCTCAAAGCGTTAATTAAAAACCTCTCTCGTGGCTGAGGACACGGCCGTGCTCACGGTTAAACACGGGCGTCCCGCAGCGCTTCAAGTATTGAACCGGGCACCCTTCAGACCCTGCTTTAATTCGAGGCAAAGCAAAGGGGAGGCAAAAGCTCTCAAGCATTACGGGAGCCTCGTGGGCATCCAGGTGGGCATCCACCCACCCCAAATCCTCCCTGACCTCACAGGAAGTTTAAATCTCGACCCTTGAGCTTCAGCATGAGACTCCCTCGCTTTGTCGGCCCCACAGCATCCGCAGCTCCAGGTAATGTCTCCACCTTCACATCCTCTGTCCCCGGAGAGGAGCAAGCGATCGGCCGTTCCCCACCACCCCTGAGCCCGGGGCCGAGCCATCCTCACTAACCCGGTACTTCATTACCCACCTCGTCTCCTCACCCTTTTAATTACCAACAATTCACTGAACCGGAGCAGCAGGGCCGCCCCACAGTCCCAATCTTTCCCACTCTCTCCCCCAAAACTACAGTTGTGTAAAATTTAGCTCGCTAACCGATGCAAACACTACGTTATTTCAACAAAAGGGGTTCAGCTGGATTAGAGCTTAAAAATACAGCCGCTAGTGCAACCTCCTGCACGGTGCAGCAGGTAAAACCATCTCGGAGTTGATTTTTCAGTAGGCAAAACGCTGGTCTCCTCAGGAAAGAATCGCACGCAACTGCTTGGTACCGTAGTAGAGGATTTCGCTATCATCTGCCAAAAATGTATTGAACAACTTCTACAAACTTCCACTAAACTTGATTTCTTACATCATCTCTATACACAGCTTGTATCTGTTAGAACTTTGTCTCGAGGCTTATAAAAAAATAAGCATTTAAAATGCCCAAAGAGTAAATTTGCTTTAAAATTGTGCTACTGAACTTGACCCCCAACGTAGAAGAGAGACTTTTGGTAATGAGGTTACCCCAAGCAGTATAAAAATAGACATAAAAATAGACAAAATCTCTATCCTCCCAACTGAAGCTCTGTTCGTGGGAATTATTAATTATTATTGATTATTTTTTTTTGTACACCACTGGGATTTCGTTATTTTTCTGCTAAATATTTACAGGAGCTGTATGCGCTGCAGCGTTCGGCTCATCCACAAGCTTTGCTCTTGGCAACAGAAAAACGAAGTCGCCGCTTTCCCCCCGCGGCGCACAGAGCGAACGGACAGGAGGTGACACCAATCACTGCTGCTAACGAACGAGTCGACGTCGCCTTCGCGGATTAAAAAAAACCCCAACTCCCACCTCTGTTGGGGTCAAACGTGGCTCCCTGGGTTGTTCCCCATGCGCTGGGACCTTCCCAAGGCTGGGGAGGGCGGGGGGATGAAATAAAACCTCTCCGAAGGTTCAACCCAGCCTAATTCTCCCCCCGCATCGCACCCCCGGCTTTTGGGTTTCCCTTTTGTTCTGGTGCCCAAACCTCCTGTATGAGCATCCTGGGGAATTTGGGTCTCTCTTTCTCTTTCCAGTCTCCCCCGAGAAAATATTAAATTAAAAAAAAATAACACGAGCGAAAGAAAAAGGAAAAAATAATAATAATTACTCTGTACTGCTCTTCATTGACATTAAACGGTGAAGTCAAAGCTACAACCCCCCCGGACTATGTACATAAAAAGACGTCAGATCTCTTGAAACATAAATATACAGTGTACAAACGCGGGTGTCACCTACGCGGCTGAGGACGCAGCACTATTTCACAGACACGAAGCAAACCAAACTCACGGGGATTTTTGGGAAGGGACCGGCCCGGCGCGGTGGTGCTTCCCTGTACGCACACAGGGTGCCGGCGGTTCCCGGGTGTGACACAACCACCCACCACGTTGCTACGCTCTATTTCGGGGGCGGGTGAGAGGTCGGGAAATGGGGTTAGACCCTGAGTCCCCAATTATTTCCAGGCACGTGCTCTGCCGGAGCGGGCACGGGGGGCGGGCTCCAGCAGCGTCTTTAGTATTGCTCGCCGACGGAGATACCCGGTATCTCCCAGTGCAGCCGCGGGAACGCTGCACCCTGCGCTTGAAGAGTTACCATGACTTTCATGGAAATAACACAGCCTTGATCAGGGTAAAAGACTAAGAGAGGTCTTTAGCCCAATCTTAAAGAAAAGAGGTTTGCTTCCTACAGCACGGACACGGCCACGACTCCGACGTTACATAAATAGGTACCGGATACCGTAAAGTGACGATGCAGTGTCTTAATTACTCTAGCGTTATCGGTTCTGCTGTCGGGGAAGACGTGCGAGTGGTCAGGGGGTGCGGGGAGGAGAGCCGGTGTCTGATGGGGCCGCACGTGGACCGGGCCCAGCTCTGACACGGCCCAAGGACACTTTTAGCTTTACTCGACACTGGCTTTTTCTGGCAACGCGCTCAAACCTGCGCCGACGCTTTCCCCAGAGCACGCGGCGTCTCCAGCCCCACTGGTGGTACCGAGGAGAACAAGTAAAGCTAAGAGTCTGCTGGCGAGGGGAGGCCATGTGTGTGTGTGTGTGTGTGTGTGTGTACGGGGTGGGGGGGCAGGTGGGGGAACGTCCTGGTTTTGGGGAAACCTTCGGCAAACCGCCTTTCTCCTACCGCTGGCCGGCTTCCCGGATCCGGCAGGCCACGGCCGCGATGAGCGCTGCGGCCCTGCCGCCGC